GTCAAGGTGCTGCGGATAAAGCAGTGAAAGAGAGTAATAAGGTCTCTACCCTCATGGAGCTTTCAAACATGCTCATACCTCTCATGTCAAGGAAAACACAACTAAAAACTTTTCCCAGTCACACTTCCCCTTCAAGTACATACTGTCTTTCTCCTCACCTTCATAGGCAAACTCAAAGAGATACCTACACTCACACTTTCTCACCATTTGCCCGCACTCCTCACCCCACTCTAGACTGGCTTCTAGCCTATCGCTCTGTTGAAGTGGATCTTGCTAAAGTCACCTGTGACATCCATGTTGAAAATCTAGTGAACATTTCAAGTATCTTATGTAGCTTTTGACACTGTAATTATGCTCTACTTCTTGAAACACTTCTGGAGTGATCATGAAGAGTGTGTGGCTCTTAAGGGAAGAAACTAAAGTGAGGCTCAGAGTTGAAATGTCCAAAACCAGGCAGCTAAGTAAGCGGTAGAACCAGTATCTGAACTGAAGTTTGTAAGACTCAGCGGCCTAGGCATTTTACAGCATCTTACTTTGATCCGACATACAAGTGATGGTGCCTTTGTTGGATCATGGTAGTGTTTCAGGAGGGAATGCTATTTATGAAAACAGGAAATGGAGGAAGCATAGGTTTGGTGATAGTGAAAGAGTTGAGTTATATCATACCCACGCAATTAAATTACCTGAATTTTACATATATATATGGTTTGCAAAAGTGAAAGGGAGGCGATTCAAATAATGCAGGCTATTTCATAAAACTCATGAGACTTGACACTATTTTAAAATTACTCTTATATTCATCTGTTGTCACTGTAAATGCATATTAAGGAGAAATGTGCCTGTAGTTACATTCCTAATTTTGAGACCTGCTAAATTCTTTCATACAGAGTGAGGTGATAGTCACAGCTATAAATAGTGAGGTTGTGACTTAATTTATCACCAAAGTTAGTGGGTCAGATCAGCCTCCCATGACAGATACAGGCTGCAACTTTAATTAAGCAGTTTTCTACAACCAATCATTTTAACAAATTAACATTTTTCCAAAACAAGCATTCTGTTCTAGAGAAGTCAATACTCCTTAGAATCATTATAAACAAATTCTTGGGTATTATTATACATTTGTAATGCCTTTCTTAGCAAACAGACTTAGGTGGAAACTCTATTAGGACAAAGTATAGAATAAGTGAATGCTAAACTGAAATTTTACTGTAACATAATGGCTATCTCAGGGCTTGTATTTTTTATATTTATTGATTTCTTTAGAGAGAGGAAAGGAAAGAAAGCAAAATATTGATTTATTCTACTTACTTGTGCATCCATTGGTTGCTTCTTGTATGTGTCCTGATGGGGGATCAAACCCGGAACCTTGGCACGTTGGGACAACGCTCTAACCAACTGAGCTACCCAGTCAGGGCCTCAGGGCATGTATTTTTATAGCACTTGTGTATATTGTCTCCCATTCTTTTAAAATTCTTTATTGCCAACTGTGTGGATGTGGTTTCTGTTTTAGGGAAATTTTTAGTTGAGAGCAAATGAAAAAAATACTGTGTTTACATTATTCTACTCGTACCAGGAAATGGGAGGTGGTGTGAGTCTTTTATCCCTTTAGACTGCTTTATTGTCCTATACTTCTCAGTGATGTTCTCTGTGAACATCTCAGAATATGTCTCTAGTGTTTACAAACAAATACTTTTCATATAATGTTGCCTCTAAATGAAAGTGAACTATGGCATATAGTATTCAACTGATGAAATAGTGATCTGCTCTAATGATGAAAGAAAAACTGGACAATGCAGTTGCAGAATGTTCTCTTGGGTGGTGCTTATTTAGACTAAACTATAGCTTATGGATTTGGCATTTTAGGAGGTCAGTTAGAAGTAATTAAGGTAACTGAGGAAAATCATGTAAAGCGGGATAAGGGACACAGAAAGTGCCTGTGTGGTGGGGGTGAGGTTTACATTTTAAGTAGTATGATTAAGTCTCATGGAGAGGCTAACAGCTGAGCAAAAATATGAAGGAAGTGAAGGAGTTGTCCATGCAAATATCTGGGGGAAGTGTGTTCCAGTCAGAGGGGAATAGCCAGTGCAAAGGCCCTGAGGAGCAGTGCCTGAAGTGTATGAGGAAAAGCAAGGAGACCAGTGTGGCTGGAGCTGAATGACAATGAGGGAGAGTGATAGAAAATGAGGGCAGGTAGGTAATGGGTGCAGCAGGAAATGTGTGGGCAATTGTAGGACATGGTGTATTCTAACTTTTAAGTGAGGTTGAGTGAAGGAGGGCTCTGTTCTGCACAGTCTCTCCAGGTTGCCGCGGATGAGGAAATAAACTGTACCAGACACAATTTGCCTTTCAGGAGAGGGGGTGGCAATTCCCTCTAGCAGAGAAATGCTGCGAGCCCTTCCCTTAAAGTGGCTTTTATTGAGAATGATATGCACAGGGGTACACAGCATGCATACAAAGCCTATCAATCTACATCAAAAAGGCTATAGATAATAAATTGAAGAAATACAGAGGTTTGTCTTAAATCAAGGTCTGTCAGACAAGTTGGTGCCAGGTGCCCATTAAGGCAGTTTTCGGGGCTCAGAAATTATCTCCTTGTGGTGAAGTAGAACACCTGTTTTTTTCCATATCAGGGCAGTGTGAAGCAGAGCAAGCTTCAGTAATTAGGTTGTATTTTTTAGGCCAGATTTCCCAGGAGACCCTCGGTGTTCGTCTTGGTCCATGTGCCTCCCAGCATTCCTGGCATTCCAGTCGAGGCTTACAGGCAGGGGGCCTAGCTCGCACGGGGCTACAATTCCTGATGCCACACAAAGTGGTCCCCAACAGTTGGAAGCCATTGCAGTTTTCAGCAGAGGCATGGCATGATCTGGCTTAACTTTTGAAAGGATCACTGGATACTGGGTTAAGAACAGACTATAGGATGATAATAGGCTGTTGCAGTGATCCAAGATAGAAGCGATGGTGGCTTTGTTGAATCATGGTAGTAGTTGAGGTGGTGGTAAGAAGTGATCAAGTTCTGGTTATGTTTTGAAGGTAGAACTAACAGGATGATGAATTGGTTATAGGGTATGAGAGAGGAATCAAAAAGGTGCGCAAGTTTTTTTAGCTTCCACACTTAGAAGGTTGGAGTTGCTGCTGATTAATATGGGGAAGCTTTGGGAGGTATTAGATTTTGTGGGGGAAATCAAGTATTTGGCTTCTGGACATGTTGAGTTTCAAATGCCCATTAGGCAAGTGATACTCACCTAGGCTGGCATTGGTTTGTGAGCTATCCGATCAATGATATAAGGAGCTTAATACTGAACATAGGTCCTCTATGACACTAAGCACATAGTGTCATTTTTTTCCCTTAAGACTTTACCAATGAAGGAAGCAGTGCATTAATTTGCATTCCAGCTCAAGCTCTTGTCTCCTTGTGAACAGGTAACAAATAGTTCACGGACCTGCTATTCTGAGTATCACTGTATTCAGACAACCAAGTCAAATTGTCAGGTAGACAACTGATATACAATTCTGGAGTTTGGGATAGAAGATGGGACTAGAGTTTATTGGGTGAGTTGGGAGTAGCTAGTGTAAAGATGAGATATGAAACCATGGAACTGGATGACATCCACCAAGGAATGAGTATAGCTAGAGAAGAGAGAAGGACTGAAGACTTACTTCTTGGTATGCCAATATTTCGGGAGTGGGAAGAGGGGAAGGATCCAGCAAAAAAGACTGGGAAAGATTAGCAACGAAGTTAGGATAGATGGGAAAAGTGGGAGTGTGAGGCCAAGTGAAGACAGTTTCAAGGAGGAAGCAATCAGGTAAATTCAGGACCAAGAATAGATCATTGGTGATCTTGCCAAAAGCAATTTGGGTGGGATGGTATGGACAGTAATCCTTTTCAGACTCAGTAATTCTTCAATAATGGTTGTGGATGAAATGGAATGGAAAGAATGCTTATAAAGTACCTTTGATGTGCTAGGCATTGTGCTAAAAACTCTTGCAATTTTTAAAATACAAAACTCTGTGAGAGTAGGGGTGATGTATATCCCTATTTAACTAATGAGGAAATAGACTTAGAGGTATTAAGATTTTCACCAAGGTTTTATAGCAGTATGTAGATTGTTTATACAATGCTTTTCATTTTCAGCAACAGTTTCAGTATTTCCTTCATATTCATTGCTAGGTATTGTTTGGTCTCACTCTTTACTTAGGAAGACATCAGGGAGAAGTCCCAATCCAGATTAAAAGGTTTAAGTGCAAAAGAATGTTTAAGAACATATTGCCAAACAAAGTGAGCGTAAGTCACTGGACAAAACCATGCACTACAGTGTTTTGTTATAATACCTGGTCTTTAATATCCTTCATATTAACAATGATCTGAAGACTTCAGATCTTTATATTTTGCCTCTTTTCAGTCTTTGCTAATCTTTTAACTAATCCTTTCAAATGTTATTATTTGGTGCCTGTTTATCATTCCCTTTTCAAAAATTGCATAAGCATATTGTGAGATTTTTATTTCTGCTCCTTGGAATGTTGAATTTAATTCTATTGCAATCACTTTTATACATTGGTTTCCTCTATAAGAATTTCCTCTGTAATAGTTCTATACTTCATTCTTTAGTATAAAGTCTAATATATTTACTTCCCTAGACACTGTCCATCAAAAGGTTTATTCTAGGAAATCTTTTTGTCTCCTTACAATACCGTCCTTTCTCTTTGAGTCCCCTGGAAGAAATGATAGAGTTTTGGGGGCTAATTGAAGTTTTCCATTTTTCTCTTTCTATGGTACATTTCATAGAAGGGCTAGTGTTGGGCTAGGTGGTCTAGAGTTATTAATAAGTTTTGTTATTTAATTGCAGGCCTCCCATAGTATTCCTCTAACCTAGTGAAATATTTATATTTTGACAGTCATATTATGTCCTGAGAATATATCCCTTTCTGCCTATAGAATCTGAATCCTGGGAGGATTATATACCACACAGTTTATTGACAGCAGATTTTATTTTTATTTACAGATGTTCGCACACAAGCCATGTACCAGATGATGGATCAAGGCTTTGTAGGACTTATTTTTTCCTGTTTCATAGAAGATAAAAACACAAAGGTATTGTGTGTGCACACATATGCACATGTGTATCATGAGTGTGTGTTTATACACACACAGAATAGAGAAAAATCTTTTTGCAATTTTAATACAGTGGCCAGGAAAGGTTTCAGTGAGAAAAGTCATTGAGTCAGGACCTGAAGAAAGTGAGGGAGCAAGTCTTGTGGATGTCTTGGGGGAAGAGCATTCCAGGCAGAGGAAGTAGCCAGTGCAAAGACTCTGAGGTGAGTGTGCCATGTTCAGGGGACATCAAGGAAGCCAGTGCGGCTGCAGCAGAGTGAGGAAGACCGTGACCATGTGTCCCTCTGACCAGTTTGCCTCTGTTAGTCCCAGTTTTACCCAGTTATCCCAGTCTCCTGTTCAGTTAATTCAGTTCCTGGAAGTGTCCTGGTTTGTACGATCACTCATTCGGTCATGCTACATGGAGGTGTGAAAGATAACTGGGGCCAGATATTGTAAGGCCTTGACTTTGACTCTGAGTTGAGAAGCCACTAGAGCAGCGGTTTTCAACCTTTTTCATCTCATGGCACATATAAATTAATTACTAAAATTCTGCGGCACACCAGTTGAAAATTGCTGGGCTAGAAGGTGATTTTGTTTTAATGGGATCTTTCTGGTTACTGTGTTGATAATACACTGGACGCGAGGTGGGGTTGGGAGCATGGGGAGGGAGGTGGTATGAAGTCCATGGTATACCTGAAGGCAGTTAGGAAGATACTACAGTAGTCTAGAAAGAGATTTGATTGCAGTGGTAGGAGTGGAGGCAATGAGAAGTGGCTGGATTCTGCATATATTTTGATTGCTACTAATAGTAACAAGTGCTTCCACTTATCGCCTGTTGTATGGTGCATACTTATAAGGTGTTTTACATAAGTATGCTCTAACTCTGACAACAAGCCTATGAGGATTATTATTATCTTTATTTTATGGATGAGCAAACTGAAGCTCAGAGATGTTAACTCAATCAATGGCTGGTCTTGCCTTTCTCTATTTAGAGTGCTGCTTTTTGAATTTTATGTTCATGTCAAGAGATTTTGTATATGTCACTTGAAACAAAAAGAAAATTTCTTTTTAACATTGTAGGTATGAATTTTGCCAAGAATACCAAGTGTGTTCTATCATTTAGTACATAAGTTATATTCTCAGAATCCGTGTTAACAATTATTACTCTTCACAAAATCACTTTACCACAGACACTGAAGTTCAGTATTTTGAACTTCATACTTCGTATGAAGTACTTTTCGTTTTGTAATCATAAATTTATTTGTTGTTATTATAAATAGTTGTTGAATAAGTCTGTCAGCTTCCAACAAAGCAGTTTGAATACTCTGGATCTTAGTTCCCTGGTTCTCATGTTTGTGAATAGTTCTCTGCTGTCACGTGAGCAGATACTTGATTGTGGCCATTTCATGTTTAGTTATATAATACTTCTTACAGAAACTGATTTATGGCATATTCCATGTTTGTAATCTCTTAACCTTCCACTTTCAGAATGGCCTTTGAGTTTTAGGTTACAGTCTACTAAATTGCTGTACATTTTTCAAAATTAATCTTTCTCTGTGTGACCTTTCTTTTTTTCTTATTTACTTGTTTTTTTTTTTTTTTTTTTTGTAGACTGGCCGGGTACTCTACACTTGCTTTCAATCCATTCAGGCCCAAAAGAGCTCAGAGTAAGTATGACAGACATGTATGTATGTATTGGTGGGTTAATCTAGTCCTGGAACTGGATTGTTTTGTATCATTTTATTTCTCTCACTGGTAAGACACTAAGAATCCTATAGTATACTTATACCCATTAACATGGAAGTTTGAATCTTTATAACATCTTGGATATGGGGGACATAGAGAGCTGGGATCATATAAGCAGCCTTTTAATTGCAATTATATCATCACAACCCAGTCCCGCGTTTCCTTTCTTGCGGTTATTCTGAACTGAGTTGCAGTGCTACTTTTCCTTTTTTCTGTTGAATTATAAAACAAAGACTGAGTATGCAGAGCACTATAGATTTGTATAGACTATTGTTTTTGCTGTTCCATAAACTTGATTTTAGAATTACGGTATCACATTCAAATGTTCTCATAGGTTAGTTTCCTCATTCAAATTCAATTCAACCTAAATTAGACAATCTTGATTTAATATATACTATATGCTAAGCATTATGGTAGGCACTGAGGATGCAAAGATGAAAGCCAAATTCATTATCCATTTGGGGAACATAAGCAAAGACTGTCTTACATTTTTTTATAATTGTTAATTTATTATTATAGCATTGTAGCATTGTTTGAAATAGCAGTAAACTGAAGAAAACAGATGTCTGTCAGTATAGACTGATTAAATAAAGTATGTTGTATCCAAATAATGGATTAATATGTAGTCATTAAAAAAATATGAGGAAGCTTGATAGTAATACAGAAATATCTCCAAGATTCATTTGTTAAATAAAAAAGATGAGGTGCAAGAATATTATATATAGCATGCTACCATTCATGTAGGAATATGGAAGAAAATATATACATGAACATACCAGCACACTTGCTTATAGATACATAGAATGTAAGAAAGGAAACACCATAGAGAGAGGAAGTGGGATGAGGAAGTAGAGGGTATGGAGACTTCATTTTATCCTTTATATAGCTTTGGGATGTTGAACCATACAAAAGTGTTGATTCATTATGTAACAGTAATTCTAAAATGTTCATCAAAGTAATAGATGCACATGCGTAAAAATATCGAATGGTACAGGACTTAAAATAGCCCCAGCCAAAAGAAACCACTTCTTTCTCCTAATTCTGATTTTGGTTCTGATGTTTACTTTGATATCTCTAAATAATACACTTTTTAAAAGGTTTTATTTATTTATTTTTAGAGAGGGAAAGGGAGGGAGAGAAACATCAATGTGTGGTTGCCTCTTACGCTGCCCCCACCAGGGGGACCTGGCCTGCAACCCAGGCACATGCCCTAGATCAGGAATCAAACTGGCAACCCCCTGGTTCACAGGCTGGTGCTCAATCCACTTAGCCCTACCAGCCAGGGCTAAATAATATACTTTTGATACTCTTTCTTTTTTTTTAAAGATTTTATTTAGTTATTTTTATTTTTTCCTTTTTTTATTTATAAATCATGTTTGTTCTGTTACAGTTGTCTCAATTTTTACCCCTTGACCCTCCTCCACCCATCCCACCCTGACCCCCAATTCACACAGTCAATTCCCACTCTGTTGTCCATGTCCATGGGTCTTTCATACATGTTCTTTGTCTAGTCCCTTCTCCTTCTTTCCACCATTGTCCTCTTTCCCCCTCCCCTCTGGTCACTTTCAGTCTGCTCCATGTTTCCGTGCCTGTGGTTTATGTTGTTCGTTAGTTTATTTTGCTGAATAGAGTCCACTTATAGGTGAGATCATATCATATTTGTCTTTCATCAACTGGCTTATTTCACTTAGCTTAATATTCTCCAGTTCCATCCATGTTGTCACAAAAGGTAGGAGTTCCATCTTTCTCTCTCTTTCTTTCTTAAATGCAGATTGATTTTATTTATATTTTTAGATGTCAGTTTATTATAAAATATTTTAAAAATTTAAAACCACTATAAAGTCTCAGCAATTAAACCAACATGACATCAGCACAGAAATAATCAACTAGATCAATGAGCATTATAGAGACAAATGTATATATCTAACAATATGATTAAGTTCATATTTCAAATCAATGGGTAAAATAAGGGTTACTCAACAAATAAGGTGTATGGCCCACTATTACTTGAAATACAACAAATATAGAGCCCTATTTCACACATTATACAAGAAATACTCAGGTGAGTTAAAAATCAATATGTAGAATCTAAGGAGTTTTAGAAGAAAATAGAACTAATATTTTTCATCACCTGAAGTAAAATATTCAAACCCAGAAGTTATAAAGTAAATTTTAACTATATAGTAATATACATATAAAAAATGTTAAAGGACGAGGAATAGAATAGAAAAGTATTTGCAACACATCTAAAACATGGTTAATAGGGTGTTTTTTTTTTTTAGGGAAAAAAGTTCTACAAACCTTTAATCAATAAATGGATAAAGAATACCAAAAAGTCATTTAAAGCTTCTTTTTAAAAAAAAGTAATAGAAATAGGCAAGAAATATACCGGAACAGGTTTAGTTTCAAGAAATAGTAAAGGAACAATTAAAATAACATCATTGTCACAATCAGATTAATGAGCATTAAAAATATGGGTAATATCAAGTATTGTCAACTCTGAAAGGAACTGGGTGTTCATTGAAACTTTTTCTTCATCTTAAATCAGTCCCTTTAGCATATTTTGCAGTGCTGGTTTGGTGGAGGTATAGTCTTTTAGCCTTCTTTTGTCTGGGAAACTTCGTATTTCGCCTTCCATTTTAATTGAGAGCCTTGCTAAGTAGAGCAGTCTTGGCTGCAGGCCTTTGCTTTTCATGACTTGGAATATTTCTTGACACTCCCTTCTGGCTTGCAGGGTTTCTATTGAGGAGTCAGCTGCTAGTCGTATTGGGGCTCCCTTACATGTTACTACCTCTTTCTCCCTTGCTTGCTTTAAGATTCTCTGCTTGTCTTTGATATTTGCCATTTTAATGATGATGTGTCTTGGAGTGGGCCTCATTGGGTTCCTCTTGAATGGGACCCTCTGTGCTTCCTGGACTTGTGTGACTTTTTCTCTCCTCCAATGAGGGAAGTTTTCCATCATGACTTTTTCAAACAGGTTCTCTATCCCTTCCTCATCCTCTTCTCCTTCTGGTATCCCTATTATATGGATATTATTACAGTTCAGGTTGTCCTGCATTTCCCTTAATGCCTCTTCATGCTTTTTGAGTCTTTTTTCATTTTCTTGCTCTTTCTGGGAGCTTTTTTCTATCTTGTCCTCCAGCTCGCTGATTCGGTCCTCAGCTTCATCTAGCCTGCTTTTGATTCCTTCTACTGTGTTCTTCAATTCAGAAATTGTATTCTTCATTTCCTCTTGCCTCTTATTGATAGTTTCTATGTCCTTTTTCATGCTGATATAGTTTGCAGTAAGTTCCTTGTAATTTTCCTCTAGTTTTTGGTAATTCTCTCTGAGCTCACCGAGCTCATTGAGCTTCCTTAGAACTGTTGTTTGGAACTCAATACTTGATAGTTTACTTGCCTCTCTTTCATTTGGTTCTCCTTCTGGGGATTGCTCCTTTCCCTTCGAGTAGGGCGTATTTCTTTGTTTTCCCATTATTTTTGAGGCTCTTCTCTTTTCCTTCTGCTTCTTAAGTTGATCTGTCTTGATCTCCTGACTTTGTGGTGTGAACTTCTGTGGTAGGAGACTGCTGTTTTTACTTTCTGGATCTGCCTCTGATGATGTCAGATGTTGACCCTGGCTGACCTTCGGTAGTCTGTTACAGACTTCCATGAATCCACTGTCTGTGGCCATCTCCTTCGGCTGTTAATCTATTCACTCTGCACTCAGCAGGCCGCCTTAGACAGCTCTGGGCGGGGTGGAGTCTCTCCTGGGGGCGGGGTTATTTGGCCATGTCATGCCGCTGCCCTATGGGGGAGGAGTCCAAACAGGTATCCCGGTGGCTGCTCTCTTAGTTCTCTCCCCAAAGCCTCCTTCCCCAGTGTCTCTGCAGGCATGTCTAGCCACTCTGTCCCTACCTTTATCGGAGACCAGGGCAAATGGCTGCAAATAAAAATTTATGCATTGGCCCTTTAAACAGTTCTTTGCATCTCCAGCCGCCTGTCTCTGGCAGAGAGCAACCCTGCCACTTTTTGCAGCTGGCTGTTTTCTGTGTACTTTTTGGGCCCTGGTGCTGTGGGCTAGAGATCCCCGCTTTTGGTTTAGACCCCGCTCTTCTCAGGGGGATCCAACTGGCCGTTTCAATATCCTTCTGGTCCTGCCTCCCGTCGGCGCCCTGGCCCGCCTTCTCAGGTCTGTACCGCACTCCTTGCCAGTTAGATTGTGCTAAAGCCAAGTCTTCTGTCTCCAAGGTTACAAGGCTCCTCTCTCGCTATTAATTGTTCAGTTATTTGTTCCAGGTAATTTCTCCACAATTTAGTTGTAATTTCAGGTTGGTCCTGGAAGGAGGTCAGTGTGATTTCTACTCACTCCTCTGCCATCTTGATTCTTCTCAGATTTTATTTAGTTATTTTTAGAGAGAGGGGAAGGAAGAGAGGGTAACATCAATATGTGGTTGCATCTTGTGCGTCCCCTACTGGGGACCTGGCCTGCATCCCAGGCATGTGCTCTGGCTGGGAATCAAACAGGTGACCTTTTGGTTTGTAGGCCAGTGCTCAATCCACAGAGCCATACCAGCCAGGGCTGATACTCTTTCTTGGTTTACTAATTTTATATATTAACTATTCTTCTTATTATGTTATCTTGCTCTCACAAATGAAGGTTTAGTTCACTTACACTGCCCCATCCTCATTTTCTTTTGGGCACTTTTGGTACTACTTTTCATTTTTTGGTTGGTAACTTTTTTTAATCTTAAATGAAGTTTATCCTTTTATTTATTCTATCAACAACGGAAAATACACAAGATTTTTTGGCTCCCTCTGTTACTTGCAGTTTTACCACAAGCCTTTATATTTTCACAGGTGCAAATTATATTTGTTCTGTGTTGTAAAAATAATTGTGTTTTCTGTGCTTTGTCTCCTAGTTGATGCTAAGAGTAGAAAATAT